CGAAACATAAACCTTCTGCTGCATCCTGGGTGAGTTTTTCATTGTGCCATAGCACCTTTGCAGAAAACAAATCCCAGCCACATCCATATCCTACTGCGTGCAGCTTAGCCCTTTTTTCCTATAGCTGGAACTGTACTCCTCTGGAAGGATGGCGTCCACCATGAATATGGACCAGCTTATATCATAGAATGGGCCTAGTGGCAGTACAAATGAAGCGGTCACCACTTGGTTACTTTCAAAAGAAGAGCAGCTCTGTAAATAAAGGAGCACTGGTCAGGAGCAGATATACAGTGTTTCAAGATACAGGGCATCTGCAAGGTAGAGATAAAATAGCCTCTTTTACATAAGTTACCCTGTGGTGATTATAAAGGAAAACCTTCCTAAGAGACATGTAGACTGACGTTTTTACTTCCCATTCTGCAATTGTTAGCTTCCTGGCTTGTCATGTTTGTCTTCTAGAATCAATAGCTTAGGTCTCTTACCCAAATGACTTCCCAGATGTGCATACTTGTGCCAGGTCAGAGACTAAAACCTTATTAGAAATTAAGAAGTTAAGTATGCCCACTTAGACTGGGCTAAATGCCTATACCAAATTCTCTTATTTTGTAACATGGAGAAACCCTTGAAATAACTTTAAGACCCCATTCACACTGAGCGATTTGTAGCGCGATTTCAGCTCAAAAAACGCTTAAACATCAGCTCAATGTAGCTTGTCCAATGCATTTCAATGGAGCTGTTCCCATCTCACAGCTCAATGTCGCTTATAGCTTGTAGCTCAAGCTTCTACATGACCTATTTTTCGGCGGATTTTGTGCGATTTGGCCCAATAAACTTAATTGGTGTAGCTCTATGGTCGCACAAATTTGCGCGCTACAGAAGTGTCAGTTTTCCACGGAAATATAAAGAAGGAACATAAGCAGGAAACAGGAAAAGCAATTATGTCATATCAAGACCACTTTTGATTGGATACAGCTCAATTTAGCAGCTACAAAGCCCATGCCAAAAGTAGCGCAACAATATGTGTACTGTAGCTCAATGTTTCTCAAAGTCGCTCAGCTCAAATCAGCGCTGAAAAGGCGCTTTTTCTGATGTAGCTCAGTGTGAATGGGGGGTCTGAAGGTCTCAGGGAATACCTGGTTACTCTATCTACAGCTCACAGGGCAGTAGCCTGGTGATCAGTGGGGAAAATGCCCCCTTACATTGGTGGTCAGTGGGGAGAATGCTCCTTACATTGCTGGGCAGTGGGGGAGAATGCCCCCCCCCCCTACATTGGTGGGTGGTCAGTGGGAAGAATGCTCCTTACATTGGTGGTCAATTAGAATAATACTCCTTACATTGGTGGTCAGTGGGAAGAATGCTCCCCTTACAATTAGCTAAAAAGTTAATTGGTGTCACTGGTTACATATCTAAAAGGAAGATATTGCTCAAGGAACCCCTAACAACCTCTGGAGGAACCTTAGGGTTCCATGGAACCCTGTTTGAGACAATAACTCCATTCTAGTTTGGCTTGCAATAAGCAATATAGCTACTTTCAGCTATGATCAGAGATACTATATAACACTTTATTCTTCATCAAACCTGTAGCTCCTCAACTACTAAAAGCTGGTAAGGGATACTGTATTTTTTTTTTTCAGTACATACCCATCGAACACATCTACTGGTTGAGCCAAATCTATCACTTCCATTACTTATCAGGTCAGGGACTAAAACCACTTCCTAGCCTTGTGCAAAAATCGTAGCCAACAATGTTAAAGGTGGATGTCAAAGCTGGGAATAGCGGATACATCTAGAGCACTTCCCAGGCACGCTGTCAGCAGTCTCTCTCTAGCTGTGGTTATTTCTGTGTGTATTAGGAGTCACTGGTTGGCTTACCTGGAGCTGAGAGTTGTATTCCGTTAGGTTGGTGTTGTAGGTCCAGCTGGCTTCCACGCTCTTGAAAAAGATCAGCTCCGCTGTGCTGTTGAAGTCGCCGACAAATCGCTGTGCCTCCGCTTCGGTTGTTCCATAGCTACCCGGCAGGTAGCTGCTGTCCAGGGCTAGAGTGCTACCCACAAGGAGCAGCCCTAGGAGGAGAGTCCAGACCATCTCAGCGCTCTGGCCACCAGGTGCTCCCCAGATTCACCTTCGTCCCTTTCCTCCTGTGGTGAGAGCAAGAGTCACGGTGCAAGGTCTTTATAGAAATATAAAAGAAGAAAGACAGCCCTCTTTGTGCTACCTCCTCATAGAGATAAGATACAGACTGTCCCTCTCCATGCTATAACCATGTCACAGATAGCAGGATTCCAAAGTCCTTCAAACATCTCATCCACCTTCTGACAGACGCTGCCTTCTCTCTTCTTCCTCACCACCACAACCAACAGCATCTTAACTCCTTCCCTGCAATCGCATGGTGTGCCGAGTAGAGAAGGCACTCGCTGTCTTCCAGCACTCAATGCACTTCCAGCATTGCCCTGTTTCACACGGCACTGTTAGTATATGCACTGCCCTTTTCCACATCCCCTCTGTCACTACGCTGCACTCTTCCATGCACTGTGTCCTTACAGACTGCAGACACAGCCTTGCACTTGCTGCACAGTTTTGTCACACTGCACATATTGCCCCCTACAGGAAACTGAATTGCATCAACTGCCCTTTCACAGTGCACAGCTAGTGTATTCAGAGTAATTTCCAAATGTACATGCTTTATTCTACATGCCTTCATGTTATTGTGCTGTAATGCACAGAT